TGAAATACAACCAGACCCTGCAACTTAACAATTAGCTAAAACAAACTAGTAGAAATTCCAACCACAGTCTATCTGAGAATATAAAAATAGAAAGTCCCAAGAACGTGATAGAGATGCTTTGGAGTGAGGCCCATCAAACGTCTTACTGCTGTGGCAAACTCTCCTCAGACTAATGTAAGATCAAATGGGCAAGGCTATTTCCTCAATGTAACACACACTGTTTACATCCTTTGTGTAATGGCAAAAAACAAAATCATATATATTTTTTTGTATGTACATTAATATTTGAATACTTTATCAACATGTGCATTAACATTTTTAAACGTGTGGCACATTAGACTCAACATATTCAAGCACATATTTTGATTTTTAACATTTAATTATTTGCCCTATTTTTTTTACATGCTAAAATAAAAACCTAAAAGCAAACAATGTGAATCCATAGCACATCTAAGCCATTAGGGGGCCCCAAAAACCTTAAAGGGGTGATAGCATGCGAAACCGAGTTTCTATTGTCAAAGATTAATAAAGACAGTTCAGTGGGTGAAATGGAAGTAGAGAGAAGTTCAAACCCCATTTAGATCTCCTTTCTATGCAGGTCCAACAATTCCAAACACCATAAAACAGGCAAATCCAAACGAAGCCCCGAGTTGATGTAAACTCGGGGATGTTGTCTTATTTGGTTCTGGCCTGTTATTTTGTCACGCCCCGAAATGTACATACAGTCCAGCCCACTGGTTCACGGCCAAAATACATTAATAGAGGTGAATGTAAGACAGCAGTTTAGCTGTTTGGCCTACAGTTGGGTTTACTTGTACAAGAATTACAAAGCAGGCAAAATGAGCCCAAACCATGGGCGTAAATGCAGTGTTCCAGGCTGCACAGAGAAAGGGGAACATTTTCTTTTGTCTTTCAGAAGATCCCTTCAAAGTTTGATGCTCAGTTGTTCATTTGCTCTAAGCATTTTACTGATCATGGACAGTTCAAAGCAAGATTTTGAAAACTTCTTTTACTGAAACGAGTGGCTGTTCTGACTGTAAGACCATTACAACTGCAAGCTTTAAGTATGATTCTGTTGCTAAGCTGTTGATAGCAATACTAGCATATCTATGGTGACTGGATTTGGTACCCACCACCCCCACCATTTGAGGTGAATAATAAGACCACATTCACCTCTCCTACATCCTACATCAGATAAATCCTACATCAAACATGTCAGATCAGGTAAGTGTCAGATCTGAAATTTAACCTCACAACAACTTTTAAACTTAGTTAGCTCTGATGTTTAAGGGTATCTCAGACTGCTGTAAGCGATGCTCTCTTTGACATGACTTATTCAGGGATTAATCTGACCCTCTGAAGGTACAAAGGCGAGCTTTTGAGAAGAGCAGCTGACATTGAGCAAGAAAAGTGCTGAATAATAACTTAAAATCTCATATATCTTAGATTAAGCTAATACTTGTGTTAAAAGTTACATAGTGGTGCTTTATTTTGAAGTCTTAATCATTATTAAACATCACAAAATGGTCACATTCTTAGATAACAGCAATCAAACTTTTTTACCTTCCAGGTCTTAGATTAATACTTGCTAATAGAAGTATTTACAGCCCATGATATCTAAATTAAAAGTATAGTGAAAATCCTTTGGCTTCAAATTCCAATGGTATGATCTTGTCTTCTGGATCTCCTACCGGCCAGTCTTTATGACATGCTCAACTAATGCCAATGCAGGTGCTCTTACTGATTGTTGCACATTTCTAGTTTGTACGTAACCAGTTAGAAAAGGGAGATGTTGGAAGAAAGAAATGTAAACCAGAGTAATTCTTTCACACGATACCACAAGAGCAAGTAGGTAAGATGGACTTTCTCATGCGCAGTTATTCAAAGCTGATTTGGGCGCTTCTTACCTAAATTCCCAGAAGAAAAAACTTTCCCACCATACCTTTAATCAAATGTGGTTCTAAATTTTTATAATATATACATTGATATTCAGTAATATTGAATGGATTTAGTCATTACTGATCTCCACATACATAGGAGACTCATGGATAACTTACGAAGTACATACCTTTTTCCATGTTTCACCAAAACACACAAATAATAGACCTGAGTAGAGCATCTAGTAGGGGTAGCTAATGAAAGGTCCCTCAACTAGCTATAACCTGATAATGCCCCGTCTACAACCGTTTGTTTAAATGGTTTAACCGAAGCCACTATGTGAACAATGACAAACACTATCAAGCTTTTTGTACAACTCAGGCTTTCTAAAATTATTTATTTTTACAATAAATGGGTGAATTAACTTTACTGTTATGACAAAAATAACCTTATGTTTATGGTGGGTGAAGAGGCCAAAACACAAACACACACTAAAAGGTTCATGGTTAATAGTAAAATAGATAAAAATAAAAGAAAATGCTACTTTTCTAGGTTTTATTTCTGTTGTTTACGTTTTGCTCTGGTAAATGCTGTGGTAACTATTCTCATCTCTTCTTCAACTGACCAATGGTTGGACTTTCTTTTTACCGTGACTTATGGCTGCTGTCCCCCTGAAGGCCGCAGCTAAAGTCTGTTTCAAACCCACCTTGACATTCTGTTACTAGGCTGCCATCCTCTGGGCGGAAATAAATGTCTCTCACAGGGAGATTGAGTTTTACGCTTGGCGCCTGCCAAGCAGTTTGTGCCACATCATAACAGCTTACTATTTAAAGGTGGGAATGCTCCGAGCCCCCCCTCTACCACCTGCTCCTGTTCATCTACCCCTCAGTGACAGACCCACAAGCTTCAGCCCCCTCTGTCTTTGCTCCTTATACTCCACCTTTGACGACTGGATCTGGATTTGTCTCTTCCCTCCTTACTTGTGGATTTCCATTCCGTTCGGGCCTTCACTCACTAACTTTTCCCAGCCTGTGGCCTGGCGATGGCGGAGGGCGTGCGTCCTGAGGATTACTGCGATGAGCCGGTGGAAGATGAGTTCGGAGAGATCATCAAATGTCGGTCTGGTAAGACATCAAAGCTTCCTGTGTGCATGTGTGGGTCGAGGAGTGTTGCTGACCCATATTCTGCTGACGGATATCAAAGGCTCTGATGCACTGATGCTGATCTTGCTCCAAGCAAGTGACAACAAAGTGGAGGTCACCCAGAACTTCATAAGCTTTGCATCGCCAGTTAATCCAAACCTATTGACTAGATGCAAAATCTAGTCAATAGCTTGGTTTTATTTTTGTGAACATTCAGGTCCATTTAGTAGATAGGCTGGCATTACTCTGCACATCATGTTCATCCCCCACCGTCGATTAAGATAGACTTGACATTTGTAGAAAGTGATTTATTATCAGATGACATTCATGCCTGATCGATGTGTTTATTTTACACTGTCTGAATATGAGATTGTCGATTAGCGACAGATAGAAATCAAGCAGGCCTGGAATATTTTAATGGATGGAAAGTAAAAAAATTCTTCATATTATGGTTGTTAAAGTTAGGTTTTTAACTTTGAGCTATAAATAGACATTTGTTGTTATTTGGCTTCGTATAACTGGGAAAATAGCCAGGTTGTGAGCTCAGAGCTAAAAGAAACTCTAAAGGTACCACCACTAAACTATATCTTATGATATCCTGAAGGAATGAGTGACTTTAGAAATGTTCTTATTTTTAGCTAAAACATAAGAAAGAAGAGCATTTTCTTGGTGTGACTAACATTAATAGACTACTTTGATAGAATGCTCTGAAATACTGTGTCAACCCTTAGAAATGTCTTTGTTTTTTTTTAGGTTTCTAAGATCATCAAACTGATTAGAGACAAGCAAAAACATGAGATAATCTAAAAGGTGGTTTTAAATAGTAGTAAATAATCTTTTATTAAGGGCAATATAATCCTTTAAACTAAGCTATCCAATCAATAAAACCACTTAAAGGTATAGTGGAGGATTTTTTGCAAATTTTGATTAGACCTGCCCTTTCAGCTTTTTTAAAAATGCACATGCACAACCCTGTACCCGCTGCGGAGGTGCCTATTAAATGAGTGCAAGAGCGTGCACGAGGCCATTTCTCCTTGTGCACGCTCTGTTTAAAGGTCGCTGTTTGCATCGCTCATAAAAGCTTACTTTCCGAAAGAAGATTTGCATTTTTTTCCCACTATGTCAGACTTAGTAAAAATGTGGATGAGCATGTTGGATGGTCTTATGTACACATATCATCAGAATGATTGAAAATTAGGAGGACCACTTATTTTGATGATCCACCCAGAAAAAGAACATCCTCCACTATACCTTAAAATAGAGAAAGCAACTTACCGTTACACTATCTAAAGAAATTGAAAACAGAAAGAAGTAATTCAGATCAATCTGTCTGGAAAGAGTGTTTTTAAAGCTTTGAATTTTCGAAGGATTTTCTTAAGCGCCTCTATATACAAACACAGAGGAGATTAAATGAGGAAACATCCCCTGGAGTGGAAGGTCCACCAAAATTACTCTAAAAGTGCATGGATGACTCATCCAAGACGTCGCTACAGAATCAGCATCTAAAGCATTGAGCTTGATTTATGCTTGATGTGTCCGCTTGGCCAACATTTAGCTGCGTGCAGCATCTGTACAGACAGAAGTTCCGCACTGTGCAAGTGAGCAGCAGCTCTTACTGATAAGGGTTTGCTAATGTAAACATCTAGAGACATCCTGTGTTTTAGCCCAACTCCAGCTCCAACTCATCATAGAAAATAAAGCTGCTCTCTAGCTTGTAGCTACAGAATATAGCTGTTAAACAACCAGAGTATCCAGATTGTCAAAGCAAGTTGACCAGCGTTTGACCTAGTGTCCAAATTTCTGTGTTTAAGCATTTTTGACACCCAGAATGCATTTCATGTAAATGGATCATTACTCAGCCATAAGAAGGACCTTATAGGATTGCTGACCAAGAAGAACACAAATACATCTGGTGCAAAACTTGCTGTAATTCTGCTATATGGCTATCATTTCCCAACCACTTGGGTTAAAGAGGTCTGCTACGATCCAAATCAGACCAGAGAGTCCACCTCTGGATTGCTGAGAAAAACATTTATGATGTGACCAAGTCAAATGGCATGACCTTAAGCAGGTCGGTCCTGCTCCAAAATCCTTTAACAGGCAACAGCTCTGCAAAGAAGAGTGGACCAAATCCTGTACAGTAAATTAAATTTAGTGTTTTTTTTATCATTTTAAAAACTACATTGTATTTTACACAGCTTTGAAAATCGAAGACATCCATGAAAACAGCAGGGAAAACAGAGCTGCATTTTAAATTTTATCCACTTAGATGCAAAGTCTCACTGGGTGATATAGAAAGGCCGAGAAACAATGATGTTAACAAACTGGTGAGACAGAATGTTGGTGAGGTGTCATTCTAGCATATTGTCTGCTCAAATAAACTCTGAATGAGTAAATGAAATCTCTTCTCATGTCCTCCTGACTCGCACGCACTTTCTTCTGTGTCCGTTGCTCGCCTGTTACCCTACGGTGCAGCTGGTGGGTCAACTCCAGCTGGAAATAGCATTCAGCTGGCCCTGACAGACGACTGCTGAGTGGTGTCAGATTGCCTGGTGAGGAGGGTCGCGCTCTTGTCTGCTTCTCTGTCTATTTCTTTTGTTGCTTTGGATTTTCTTCCATCCAGTCTTATAGTTTCTTTTTCACAAACTTCTCTGAGGTTCTATCTTTACAACCGCATCAGGCGATTCTTCTTTACTTGCCTTACTTCCTGCCCTAACCTGTTCTATTTCTTTTTTTTACTCCCTCCTCTACTCATTTATCTCAGTTTGACAGTCTCCTACCACCCATGTCGTTGCCACTGTATGGCTGGACTTTCTGTCTTGAGCTAAATCTGGCCTTCTATCTTTGTGCCGTAGGCCTCACTGGAGATACTTTACATACTGTCTGGAATACTGTCCCGTATCAACACATCCAGAGGCTACACACTGGGAATGTACAGCCTTTTTTCACATACCCTAACTTCAATCTGTTTATATTTGTAAGAGAGTAAAACATTTTTGCCAAGATGAGCTTCCTTAAAATTCTGGAAAATGAGGAGCATCACCATGTTCTAAGGTCCTTCCACTGGTTCTACCTTTAAAAGGTGGGTTTTTAAAAGGAGGTTTCAAAAATGTTCACCCTTTGACCCACAGAATGGTACCAGTAATTCATGACAAAAAATATTTCTACAAAACCCAGTAACCTTCGATGTTATACCATTACAAGCGACATCAACAACCAATGCACACATTTAGATCCTTCAGCAATTTAACATATGTTTTTATTTTTTTGTTTAACTTCTGTTGTGGATCTTAAGACCCTATGATGGTTGATCAAATAACCAAGGTGGGGCCTGCCCCCCAACTTTGACAATCAGGGTGTTGATCTATAAATCACTGATTGGCTTTGCAAGGAATATATTACAAACCTCTTGTCAGTGGATGGACCACCCAGACCTCTTAGGTCTAATGGCTGTAATCTACTCTACAGACCCAGAATCAAACATGGAAAAACAGTTTTTAGTTCTTATGCTCCAATAATCTGAAAGGAACTCCCGGGAAACTGTAAAAGTTGATTTAATTCAACATTAAAAGTGTATTTTTTTACAGTGAACTCTAAAAATGCTATCTAAACATCATAAAGGTTGTTAGTTAGTTGGGGAGTGGCTGCCTAGTGGTTAGGGCATTGTGCTTGGAGCCCCACACCCACATCCTACACTCTGGGTCCCTGAGCAAGACCCTTAACCCCACACTGCTCCTTGGGCATCCCACACAATGGCAGCCCACTGCTCCCCAACGGGATGGTTTAAATGCAGAGAGTAATTTTAATTGCTTTGTACTGGAGACAGTGTGATGACAATAAAGTTGAATTCTGTTCCATTCTAGTTAAGCTTTCCTTTTATGTTTATATATTTAATATATTTTTTGAATGATTGATTATGAAATAATAGTTGGTGACATCATTTCTAAAAATCTTTATTTTGATTGGAAAAAAAATCCTAATTGAATACTTCCTCCTATGGAGGAAAAACATCCCCACTTCATGATGCTGCCACCACTGTGTTTTCCCAAGCGGAAGCGGTGCATTAAGAGTGTGCTGTTGGATTAGCATGTAGGCTAGAAAATTAAATGTTTTCCTTATTCACACCACCACTTTTCAATGGGGGGTCAAAGTAATGAACTAGTAGTTATTTTACTTAAATAATTCCTATCCATTTCCCTCTGCTTTGATATTCTGAAATACTCTTTGTTAGTTTATCGAATAAAATCCCAATGAAATACATAAAAGTTATTTTTTTATGTTGTTTTATTTAACCTGTCCAGTAGAGGCATTTTCTGGCCTACCATACAGAGTAGCTGGTTAATTACATATGTGAGGGCAGCTTTGCTCCACAGAAAGGCCATCCACAGAAGGTATTCATTAAATATGATGAATATGAACCTGTGTTTATTGACCTTCAGCTTTTTTTTTTTAGCTGGAGGCAGCAGAGCACCAGAGTCACAGAGCCCTGAGGCCAAAGAGTCACAGAGAGAGACGTAGAGTACCGAACCCCCTACCTAACCCCACTGCCACATCCTCCAGGGTAGATCAAGCCTCAACTGAACAGTGTGGTCTAAATTGTTGAAGGCAGCTGGAACTCTCCCTCTTTGTGATTCACATTATTCTCATTCATTTGGTTTGTAATTGAAAAACAACAAAAAAGGATGACAACATTTCAAAGCACATAACAACAATAAATGATGAATCCTCATGGGAATCTACAACCATGTTTGAGTCCATATGCTATGTTTGTGCTACCAAAATAATATAAGGTCATCAAGGTATTTTCAAACGTGTGAGAATTACATTTTTCTTCTTAGCAGTGATTTTGGCTTTTAAACCCACTCCCATAGTTTATTTTTGTTTTTTTAATTAATGAATCATGAACCTTGATGTTAACTGCAACAAGCAAGGACGACGCAGCCTCGGATGTTGTCGTTGCCTCCTGTTGATGCACTCGTAAA